CCGAAGAAACTGTTTTCGGTACTATTTTTGGTGCTCTTTCAGCCCCACATCAAAGTGCGTGATGAATTTCTCGAAAGTAGTTTGGTAAATTCCGAAAAATCCATGTGGTCCCCCTTTAGTCGTAAACCATCAAAAATAAAAGTTTCAAAAATCGTAGCAATTAAACCAGGGCCTCCGGGGCTTCCGAAGAAACTGTTTTCGGTACTATTTTTGGTGCTCTTTCATCCCCACATCGAAGTGCGTGATGAATTTCTCGAAAGTATTTTGGTAAATTCCGAAAAATCCATGTGGTCCCCCCTTAAGTCGCAAACCATCAAAAATAAAAGTTTCAAAAAATCGTAGCAATTAAACCAGGGCTTCCGGGGCTTCGGAAGAAACTGTTTTCGGTACTGTTTTTGGTGCTCTTTCAGCTCCACATCGAAGTGCGTGATGAATTTCTCGAAAGTAGTTTGGTAAATTCCGAAAAAATCCATGTGGTCCCCCCTTTAGTCGTAAACCATCAAAATCAAAAGTTTCAAAAAATCGTAGCAATTAAACCAGGGCCTCCGGGGCTTCGGAAGATACCGTTTTGGGTAGCAAAAAATACGCTCACAGATATATCTGGTTGATCTAGTATCTGGTTGATCGAGTTATAAGCATTTTAAGTTTTTGCATACATTTTGCATTATTTCATTGGCCATAGCTTCATAGGCCTTCCCCGCCTCCCCATCACCATGGTCTGGTGGCGTAGTGGTGTAGTAGGCGTCCTCCGGGAATCTAACGAGGTTTCGAGCTCGATAAACGATTTTTATTTTTTTGCTTTGTCGTCCGAAGGTTTCTCTTTGCTTTCTAAAGACCTTGAATAGCTTTTTACGCATTATTTTAACTCCTCTGGTGCGAAATGGCTAAAAAACATATCTTTGAAAAAATTTAGATTTTTTTACCCGAAATGACTATGCCGGTCCCAAAATAAATTGAAAATTCAAAGCATATCAAAAATCGTGGAATAAGCGTAAATTTGAAATGGTGTGTTATCCGAAGAAAAACTTTCATCCGCGAAAATTTTTTGGAAATGGTAGCCATAGGTCGGACAAGGGCTCGATGCCCAGCAAGAAAATTTTTTGCGGTGAAGTTCGATGTTGTCGGCGCATCAGTGGAGTTAAAATAATGCGTAAAAAGCTATGCAAGGTCCTCAGAAAGCAAAGAGGAACCTTCGGACGAAAAAGCAAAAAAATGAAAACGAAAGCGGGTTCGAACCCTCGTTAGATTCCCCGGAGGATGCCTACTACACCACTAGGCCACCAGACCATGGTGATGGGGAGGCGGGGCAGGCCTATGAAGCTATGGCCGAAGAAAAAATGCAAAATGTATGCAAAAACTTAAAATGCTTATAACTCGGCGTGGTTATTGTATCAGCAGCTGAAAGTTACACCAATCGATTTGTCTCGTCGAGCTCTATAAGTGTGCAAATTTTCAAATCCGAATTCGATTCCGAGCAGAGACCATCTCCTTGTAAGCCCAAACCTAAGCCTAAGCTTAAGCTTAAACCTAAGCGAAGCATAAGCCTACGCTTAAGAAACCCCAACCCAAAGCCTGAGCCTAAACCGAGCTTAAGCCCAAACCTAAGCCTAAGCCTCAATCTAAGCCTTAGCCTAAGCCGAGCTTAAGCCTAAGCCTAAGCCGAATTTAAGCCCAAGCCTAAGCTGAGACCTAAGCCGAACCTAAACCTTAGCCCAAGCGTCTATAAATTGCGTTAGACGCCAAATGACGCTTATTACGGTTTATTTTCTCCTGCTTCCAATATCTAACGGAACTCTTTACTCTAAACAACTAATTTCAACGGCTTTTATAGTATGACCAGCGCTGACCCCCCGCTACGCGGGTGTTCAGCGCTGGCCTCCCCCACAATTCGAATTTTGGATTTGAATGCAAAATTTGGCTGAATTCCCGGTCGGCGGGCGTACGGACATTAGAAATTTATATATAGCAGATGTAGCTGTCGCGACCTAAGCCTAACCAGGAGTCGTTTTTTGGGCGTCAGGACACCCTAAAAACGGCGACCTGTTCCAAATGTATTCAGAAAGCTTGCAAGCGTGAATTTACTAACGTTTCGAAAGAAAACCATCTTTCACTGAATCGCCCAAAAATTATTCTAATTTTCACCCCCCTGAGTGACTCACAAAGACGGCCGAAAATGTGCTAGGCTAGCCGAAATTTGCCCGTAAATTGAGCAATATCTCGGAGCCACGGCCGAAAAAGTCTGATAACATTTGTTAGCGCCTCAGCCCAAGTTTATGGGCCCGGTTGCTGGAGGCTTGCAAATTTCTGGAATTCTTCGATTTTCGGCTCGGATCCGGAATGCGGAAAATCGTGTTCTGTCTGTATGTCTGTCTTCTTTTATTACCAGGTAGAGTGGGCGAAGCCTAAACCATAGCCTAAGCTTAAGACTAAGCCTGAGCCCAAACCTAAGCCCAGGCGTAAGCCTAAGCCTAATCTTAAGCCGAAGCCTAAGCCTTGTTCAGCTATTTCTGCCCTCGACGTCTCGCTGAACTTCTTCGACTCGACGTATATGGCAGATGGCAGCGCGTTCAAAGCGGATACGGTATTGCTAACCCGAACAATGCAAAGTGATTTTCAGAGCCTAACTTTGCTTACTGGCGACTGCAGCGATTGCTACATTCTTCTAACATTTTGGTTTAAGAACCAGGCGGACACCGATTTTACGATTTTGACAGATGAGGGAGTGAGACGCTCGTGAGTTGGGAAAGAGAGAGAGAGAGAGAGGGATGGAAACCCTTTTTTCAGAATCAACCTCACCCAGAACACTCTCTCCAACCTGTACTCCCCGCCTATGAGGCTTGATTTTTCGCAAAATACCGATACCGATTTTGTGCTCTCCTTTCGGCAACTGGCCAGATCAGGAGGTTTTGAAATCGTCGGTGTCGAATCCAGAATTTTTAGTGATCACGATCCAAGATAACGATTTTTCCGTCAATCCAATGTCCGAGGAGCCGCAGAACATTACTTTCCTATCGACGAAAAAGACGGTGGCCACGTTTTATCAGGGGTCAAGCTCGAACACGGCCATCTCGATTCGGCCAAATTCCTTGGTTGGTTTTGTTCGTTTGTTATTAGTTTTTAGTCAGCCTTTATATGTTTTTAGAGGGATTTAGACCTAGAATTTCGCGCAATTTTTTGTTTATTTTTATTTTTTTTGATTGCGCAACCAGATCTTAAAAGAAATAATCGTCACCTAATTGGAATGGCGGTTCGCCGCAATCCAAACATAGAAGATTTTAAGTGATTTTTGCCGTTTTTTGGTATCTCTCGATGTCGAGCAGTAACGCCTATTTCTCGGTTCCCTAACCATTTGAAAAGTTAATGAATTTTAAGGGCTAGACTTCTCTCCGTACTTTTTCTTCCTTTTTGCCTGCCCCTTCAGTTTATTAAATTCCATTCGAATTTTGAAATTTCCACCATTTTGTAAGGATTATAGCACAGCCATTCGTTAGATCATCAAAAAAATTACTGAGAGTGCTAATTGGAGCTTATAATAGTGTGGTATAAAGAAGTTATGGCAAAAAAAATTTTGAAATTTTGAAAATTATTAAAATTTTTAAAAGAAAGCAAGGTCTGACCATTTTTAGAATTGCACAGTAGAGCTATTTTCTTATGGATGGCCAAGTGACGCCGGAAAAGCATCATATCTCCTATTCAGTTTTAGGTAACTTTTTCGAGGTCTTCTAAAGCCATTTTCAGCCCCTCAAACTACCGTAACCTCACCCCCAGCCAATATTGGGGCCGGGCGGTAACTCTAGTGTTACCAGCAAGTTGCGCTGCCGGATTTCAGATTGAAAAGATAGAGGGTAAATTCGATATGGTAAATTTAAGTAAAATATGGCATATTTTAGCTCCCGAGACTACAAACTACACCCTGGGGGCCCGCGAGAATTTTGGGTACATTTCGAGTCGGGATTACCCCCTCGTTGGTGATGCTGGACCTTCGAAAATTTCAATGAATGTTCTATTGAATGAAACTGGTAAGATATTAACCGCAAACTACAAAAATCTTTAGTGCTCAACGACTCTGAGGTGCAGCTGAACCTGCTGGAATTGGTGGCATACGAGCCGGCCAGTAGTTCCGACCAGTTGATGATCATCTTTGGCGAGGCCGGCTCGAAGAAGTGAGACGTTTTTAGGTCCAGAATCTCCCAAGGAATCTTTGCTAGCTAGTTTTCAAAACATTCTAATGTATCATCAAATTAATTGTTATGAAATTACTTTCAGCTTGAGATTTCAGTAATTTTTTAAACTCTAATTATTTATTACAGTTCCAAACATCTATATCTCCCCATTTCTCCCAAATAACCGCTGCTAGCGTGCCGTATAACCACGAGCGTACATGGGTAATGGAGCATAAGCAGTGTTAGCACGAGCTTAACCGGCAGTTTCTGATAGGATCTCGAAAAGTTCAAAATAATCGTGATCTTTCCACGATGTTCTCTGCTAGTTACCCGTCTTTCAGCCTTTGCTTCTCTAACGCTCCATTTTTAGCTTCTCAACTCCGCAAAAAAATCTACAGGTTAAGGGCACCGGGCAAATGCAGGTATTGTACCGAAATTTATTGGTTATTTTTGTGTTTTTCAGATTAAGTTTTGAACCCGCTAAAATGGACTCGCATTTTTTGATTCGATACGAGACGAAAGCGGTGTCAGGTTCGTGTTCTGGTGTTTTTTTTGGAAAGTTCAGCGTGTCAGAACGAAAGACCTTCGTGAATTTGAATGCAGTCGATTCGAGCTACACTTTAAATGGAAATATGGTCAAGGATATTGACGTAAGCTCATCAAAAACTTCCAAAAAAATGAGCGAGTTCAGATTTTCTCGATCTATGTCGACGGCCAGCCGACCACCTATGTTTTTCCATATTTTGCAGCCCAATCCCAGACTGATTTTGAAATCATCGATGCGGAAAATAATGTTTTTAGGTCTGGCTATATTTTTACGTCTTTCTACTTCTTTTTCTGCTCTTGCAATCGATCTTTTTTTATGTATTTCCAGCTCCAAAGACCTCTCTGCCGCCTCGAACTTTACCGGCAACATTCAGATCGATCTTACTGGGAACAAAAACTTTGAGTTTGCCCTCATCTTTCGACTGGATTATGGAAAAATTGGTATCAACGAGGTTGAGCTCAAAATTTAATTTTAGAGCTTTCAAACGAAGTAGATTTTGCCCTGCTCCCGCTGGACGCCTCGAAGTCGGTGACGGTAGAGATTGGTTTGTCTTACACCAAAGAAAGGTGCCTAGGCCTTTTTCAAAACATAGGCTTTCTCACAAAGGATTGTTTGATTGTCTCTGCTTCAAATAAAACGGATTTTGACCTAGGAACCCAGCGCAGTCAAAATCCAAAAAGCAAAAAAGAATTGTTGCCGTGAGTTTCGAACTTTTGCCTGAATCGCAAAAAAAGTTCGGCGGGCAGCGGTGTTAGCCACTGCGCCACGCTTACTGGTGGTGGGGAGAGGTCAGGGCGGCTCTTCCCCCGGGGGCGCTTCTGGGGCTGGCGCGAGCATCGAGGTCCAAAAATGCTGTTTTTAGTTTTTTAATTTTATAAAATCGGAGACAGCCATTCCGCAAAAACGAACAACGGGAGCTTGTTCAGAATTCAATTCTCTATCGAATGAGCTAGGTCGTGAAAGGTTTTGCCGATGACACTAAAAGGGCACTCCTTGTAAGCACAAAACTAAGCCTAAACCTAAGCCCACGCTCGAGCCTAAGCCGAAGCTAAGCTTAAGCCAAGCCTGAGCCTAAGCCTAAACTTAAGCCTAGGCTTATGTCGATGCCTAAGCCGAAGTTTAAGCCTAAGCCTAAGCCTAGGTTCAAGCCTATGCCGAAGTCGAAGCCTGAGATAAACTGAATTTTTAGGCACCGAAAACCGAACCTCCGTTTACTCCTTTGTCACTCCATTCAACAGAACCTTTCCCTGTGTGACGATTCAGAACATTTCAATGGCAAGTTTTTGAAATGCTAAATCAATTGATCTTTTTTTTCTTAATGCTAGCGACACCTGCCATCCAAATTTAGAGTTGTTCTCAAATTTCGCTATATACGGGCGGTTACTACAGGAATGTTACGACCTCCCCGGATAAGTACTTGCTCTATGAATTCGGGTAAGCTGCATAATCAAAAATTAATTGATGCTTATATTTATTTGTCCCTTTAAAAATACTGTTTAGGGAAAATTATACTGACTACTTTTACGCAAGTCAAATTCGAGCGTTCTCCTTCAGCTTAGCAATTCCAGAAAATTGCGATGTATCGTTGGAACTAACTGAAAATTGTGAAGGTAACCCAGTTCAAAACATTTTCTGTGACAAGTGGAGCTCAAATTAAATCAACTCATGCAGAATGAGGCTCTGCGAAGCGGTTGTCTTTTTCAGGAAATCCCGACCTTTCCTATAATACAGTCCCCCTCGGCGGTCACGGCTTCTTTATGAGTGACGCCTATCGACAAAACGACAACTTTTGGGGAATCGACCCTTGGAAGTCGAGATTCGTGCCAATGACACGGAGAGTCGGACTTGAACCTTAAAAAATTGATACCTTAGTGCCTTTAGATACCACCGAAATCGCTTTAAATTTCGCTGCCTTTGATGCCGGCTTTGAAAATGGCGCATCGGTTTTTATTGATTTTTCCGGTTCTAACAGCACGTTGAAGTGAGGAATGAACTATATATACTGTTACGATCTTTAAGCCTTGCGGAATCGACGCAAAATGCAAATTTCACCGATTTGGCGGGGTCCGTTTTGGTAAGTCTAAGCCTAAGCCTAAGCCTAAGCAAGCCTAAGCCTACGCCGAATCCTAAGCCTAAGCCTAAGTATAAGCCTAGGCTAACGTCTAGTCCTAAGCCCATGCCTAAGCCTAAGCCAAAGCGCAAACCAAAGGATAAACCAAGCAGGAACTGAATTTTCAGGTAACGTTCGATGCAGCTGCTCCGGCTTCCGGATTTCTGCTGAAATATTCGCTCCAAGCACCTGATCCGAATGCTGTTTCCACAGTACCCACCGGGATATCGGAATCTACCGTATCAACGACACCCGTGATTTGCACTTGTCCAACTCTTCCGACAGCGGAGACCACTACCAAGGTGGCAACGAGCATACAGCTTTCCATTGTTTCGTTGGTAATTTTGTGCGAGAGTTTTGTTTAAATAAACAGGATTTTATTATCCCTTTAGCTAATATCAAGCGTTGTTGGTGTTTCGAGATTTGCAAAAAAATGTATACACCGGCTCCAAAATGTGATAAATTTTTAATTTTAAACAAAGCTTATAAATGCTAAAATTTAAATAGCATATTTTGAACTTCAAAAACCGCCAGAGAGAATTCAATAAAAGCTTTATTTGTCTAAAATTTTCATAAATTGAACTCGAAAAGCTAGGATTTTTAGATGAAGTTGATAAAATGGTTGTAAACCTGAAAATCGAATTGTGAAAAGCTTGATTGAAAAGGTTTCAAATTTTCTCACGGGTTCGGAAGACCAACGCTATCAATATAACACGAGCACGCAAGTTTTTATGGCACAAATTAGGCGTTTTCACGGAGGATTAGAATTCGACAGCACCAGGCATGTTTATTGCTTTCTGAATCAGCAATTTCGTGTGCCGGGACGCCGGGTGTGGTTCGGGACAACTTGTGATAAGCCGCCGCCTTGGCTCACCCTCTACCCCCCAAAAACTACCTCCCCCGTGAAGCCACCTTCTATGTAAATAGCCCGAAATTTTATTTCTGTTCTCGCGACCCGAGGGTTTGATAACCATTTTCAAAAACGGCGATTCCCCTTTGCAAAAATGATGCTGCGGGAAGCTTGCTTATTGATTATTTGTAGTTTGTTCGCTCAAAAAGCAGGTATAGAAATGGCTAAATCGAAAAATTTCCCGTTTTTTAGTTTCGGTCGATCATACTGTCAATTTGAATGCGGTTGATGCTTCCTATGTGATGAATGGATACTTGTTTAAAAATACTACTATTGACGTGGGTTATTTTAGGTCGGGTAGAGGCTTAAGCTTACACTTCGGGTTAGACCTCGATTTGGCTTAAGCTTCGGCTGAAGCCTAGCCTTAGGCTTAGGCCATAGGCTTAAGCTTACACTTGAGCTTACACCTCAACTTTGGCTCAAGGTTAGGCTGAAGCTTGGACATAAGCTTCGGCTTAGGCTTCGGCTTAGCCTTAAGTTAAGCCCTCGGGTTAGGTTTAATCTTCAGGTGAGGCTTAAAAGGCCGTCCGCCAGCTACCCGACCTGCCCCCATTATGGCTTGGCACAGTTTTTTTTCGACCCCATTTTTTTGATGCCATCGGAAAGAGCATGTTCGAATTAGTAGGGCTGCATAGTTTTGAAAGTTCAAAAAGTTTATTTTTATGGTTTAAATGGGTGTCAAAGTTGCCGACCACGAAAAACTACCTTGGAAGTTACTGACCAGAATTAGCTGAAACTTTCAGAATACACCTATTTTGGGACGGGGATCATTTCTCTAATACATTGCGAAGCCTGAAAATGACCGGAACATGGTTGAATAGCGTACTAGAAACAGTTTTTCGAGATTTTTGGCTATGCGGGCGATCGAGCGCCACTCATACGTGGTAGGAAAAGATGCGCGACCTTTTTCTGCGTCGAATGACGTGTTCATTATGCGGCGCTCGGTCGCCCGCATATCTTAAAAATCGCGGTTTTTACACCCAAAATGACGATTTTTAGTCGAAATCTGGGGCGGGCAGGGTGAGAGAATGCGGCAAGCGCAGAGGACAGAGACGGCTAGGGTGGTCAAGTTGGGGGCTCTCTGGCAGCACCCGACCCGCTCCCCCAGGGCTGCTGTCTGCCTGTCTGGACCCTCCACGTCGCGCGCACTCTTTCGCCAGTTTGGCATCAGAAAACCCGCAAAAATCGCCATTTTCGGCGTAATAATCGCGTTTTTTCAGATATGCGGGCGACCGAGCGCCGCATAATGGACACGTCATTCGACGCAGAAAAATGTCGCGCATCTTTTCCGACCACATATGAGTGACGCTCGATCGCCCGCATAGCCAAAAATCTCGAAAAACTGTTTCTAGTACGCTATTTAACCATGTTCCGGTCATTTTCAGGCTTCGCAATGCATTAGAGAAATGATCCCCGTCCCAAAATAGGTGTATTCTGAAAGTTTCAGCTAATTCTGGTCAGTAACTTCCAAGGTAGTTTTTCGTGGTCGGCAACTTTGACACCCATTTAAACCATAAAAATAAACTTTTTGAACTTTCAAAACTATGCAGCCCTACTAATTCGAACATCCTCTTTCCGATGGCATCAAAAAAATGGGGTCGAAAAAACTGTGCCAAGCCTTGTTCGGGTCCCTCGCGAACGGCCTTTTAAGCTCAGACCTCGACGCAAGCATGGGCTTGGGCTTTGCTTTAGCTTAGGCTTAAGCTATGCATGGGCTTAGGCTTAGGCTTCGGCTTCAGCTTAGGCCCCTTATCCTGCCTTAAAAATCGAATTTCCGATTTTTTAGCGTCTCCTGATTACAATCGACGACCCAAAACTCTCGGTCTATGTATTGTCCAAATTTGACTCGCAAAATGACACAAGCTTCTGGATCGCAGATGCCACGACGGCGGCGTTGCAGTGGGTTTTAAAAGACAGTTTTAATCCATTCCATTTTCACAGACCTGACTTTTTTCAGATCCAATGAGCTACCAGCCTACCAGGTCTTCCAAGGCGCCATCACCGTAGATTTGAGCGCAAACCAAAATTTCAATTTTGCACTGATATTCCGGAGGATAGGGGCGGATGAAGGTAATTTTCTTTACCACATAATTACGTAAATCTAGCCGATACCCTGAAGAAAACGACGTTCACCGTGATTAGCTGGTTGCCAGGTGCCAAGGGGAGTCCAATTATGAGCGGTAAGTAATTCATTTCAATCTTTATGAAGAGTTTTGCGTTTTCGAAGCCAATTAGCGAACCTTTTCTTTTTAATAATGTCCAAAAGACAGTGAAAATTTTCCATATTTAGCTGGCGCCGATCAGTACTCGGTGATGACCATCCTGGCGCCGTTTGAACGCGAATACCCGACGCTGCAGGTGGAGCCTCTGCAGATGGTGAGTTCTACTCAAAAATGCATAATTTTTTTCGCTCTTAACAATGATTTTTCTGTTTTTTTTTTGTAGAACCGACCCAACTGCAAAGTGGTGATGTACGCGGGAGGGCAACCAAGTGCAGCCGGGGCCGAGAAATACAGATTATACGATTTTACGTAGGTTTATCTTAGGCATAGGCTTGGGCTTGGATTTTGGATTGGTTTTAGGCTTCGGCTTAGGGATAATCTGAGGCTTAGGTTTAGGATGGGCTTGGCTTACGAGCTTAGGCTCACGTGTTAAAGCGCAGTCAAAAGCTTTCTTCAGCAATGCGACGAGCGACTTCCAGCTCTCGTGCACGATCCGAGTTTTTGCGGTGACATTTGTCGTGCCCTCGCTTTGCGGCTTGATCGTTGCTTTGGAGGAGAATATTGGTGGGTTATGATTACGAGCTGCTAGAAATTAGCGTTGCAGGTCGTATCGCGTCTCGCGTCGCGTGTCACTTGGCGCGTGACGAGGGACGTCGCGTCGCGTACGTAGAATCGTTCGTTAATTTTCAGACACGATCGCCCCAAAAGTCGTTGATGGCAGTCATGGGTTTGCGATGAGCAACGCGTACAGACAAATGGACAATCTCTGGCTCGCGATCGGCCATGGCGGTTACTCGCTCTCGATGCACCAAGTACGTTGCTAAATTCTGGAGTCAGGACAGCTTGCTGGCGTTACCTCTGGTTAGAAGGACCAACCCCCGCGCGTTGACGACATGTTTGAAATTTCCGTCCGACCCAATTCCATCAACGGAACCTTTGATGTGACCGTAGCGAGCTTTGAGCCGAGAGTCAACAGTACCCTCAGTTTAGCTTTGGAGCAGGACAGCACGAAAGTGTAGGCCTTCTAAGGAGTGAGCTCCAGCTTCTGGTTGTAGGTTTGCTGAGAAGACACAGAACTGCCAATTTTCGGATCACATCGACGGCGATGAGCGTGAGTTTTCTGGAAAGTGACAAGAGAGAGAGAGAGAGAGAGAGAGAGAGAGAGAGGGAGCAAGTTGGGGAGAGACCGTTGAACTTCAGGTGAGATACGAACCCACCACTTCTGACTCTGGATTTTTAATACGGTATCGATTTTCGACGGGCGATACGGCTGCGACTGATACGACCAGCTCAACGGCTTGCAGGTTTTTAAATTTTTAGCTAAACGTTTGGAATATTAGGAATAACTGCGACTACAACAAGGATGGGTGCTCGAGCTGCATTTTCTTTATCAATTTTGATGGTTTTCATCGGCTTTTCCATAGTTTTCTAACGAAGTGGAGAAAACGAATTTCGGGTTTTTTTAAACTGCTTTACGTTTTTTGCTTGTTTCCGTTTGGTTTTCATCGCCATCGTTTATTAACTTGCTCGTTTGAAATGAGGCGTGCTTAGCCCCCTCGGAAGGCCCTACTTGAAAACAGTCGACCTTCAGATACATGCATTTGCCGTCCCTCCCCCTCCCGAATCCATCGTCGCACACGCAGCTGCGGCGCGGAGGCAGGCAGCTTAGGGCTTTACAAAAGGGGATACGCTGAGCCTAATCATAAGCTTAAGCCTAAGCCATTGCCTAAGCAGAAACCTAACATGTAGAGGTTGTCAGGTCACAAGCTCCAAACCGGCTGAAAATTGGTGGAAAAATCGAATAAAATACGGGGAACACCATGCGATAAAAATCATCTGCTAATGGGCACTTTTGTTTAATAAACTTTTAATTTTAGGTAAAAAAATTAAGGTAAAATGGACTTTCAGGGGATTAACCGGGCTTTCCCTCTCGGAATAAATGTTTCGATCGAATTGTCACGGAAAGTACGACACTAGGTACTTTCCCACACCCGGAAAAAACATTTTATTTGAAAAAATTTTTCCCCGAAAATTTTGACGACCTATGGCATAGCTTTGGCCGCTAGGTGGGTTAGCAGCTGCTTAAAACAGTTAGTTCTGACCCCAGGTGTTTAAAATCAGAGCCCATAAATTCCAGATTCCGATAATGACTGCTTCTTTACAATACCTGTACAAAAAGTAATCTGTATTAACTATCCTGTCGATTTTCATGGATTCGGAATAGGTAGGTAGGCCCTTTTTTTGCAAAAACTTCCAAAATGTTGTAATTTATTTTTTTGTCGAGGCGGCCGCTACTGATTAATAGGACCGAAAAACATTATAAAAACTATTCTAGACGCGCTCCCTACAAAATAAAAGCAAAACGGCAAAAAGCAAAAAAAATTAAAAATGGGGGAACCGAACCCGTGACCTTTGGCCTATTATTCCCCGCACCCTACCCCTACACCACCGGGCCGACGGGAGGGGGCCCTTGGGGAGGCTTCAAGAGCTCGCGCCTCGGCGCCCCGGTTCTGGCCAGGCTCGCTGCGAATCTAGGTGGCTTTTCCATACAAAATCTTAAAATTTAAATTTTATTAAACAAAAGTGCCCATTAGCAGATAATTTTTATTGCATCGTGTTCCCCGTATTTTATTCGATTTTTCCACCAATTTTCAGCCGGTTTGGAGCTTGTGACCTGACAACCTCTACATGTAAGTTTAAGAACAAGCCTAAGCCTACCAAGTTTTGCAGCCGTTGTTGGCATTTATCGCAGCCGATATTCATCCGCCACGAAGCATTAAAATCGCCGCACGCGATCATTCCTTCGAGATTGGCGGCCAGTAGTCCGAACAATGCTGAAAAACTTTAATAAGTAGCTTTAATGAGCTAACAAAGTCGAGAAGCAACAATTGTGCGTTTAGGTTTGGGCTCAGGCTTAGGTTTGGGCTTAGGTAAGGCTTATGCTTAGGCTTATGCTTAAGCTAGTGTATTGTTTTAGGCTTAGACTGATGATCAGGCTTACGTTTTGGCTTAGGTTGGGCTTTGACTTGTCCTAGGTTTAGGCGTTATTTAGGCTTTAGGCCTCGCATCCAACTCAAACTCACCCAAGAAAATCAGAGGAGACAGCTTTGAGGCCATTTTTGGAAGGAATGGCTTCTTTTCATTTTCCTAACTTATATTGCCGTGGTTTTTTAATATCGCTGGTATGCGCATTTTAATGTCTTTGGTTTCACAACAGAAACAATTCGCCAGGCGAGCACGATTATCCGCCTACTTGGATTAATAGTCGGTTCGTAAAATTAAGGAATTCTTCGTTTTTCGAGACGTTAAAATGGTTTTCTGAAGAAACAGAGAAGGTAAATCGAAAATTTATCTATTACCATTCCCCAGAATCCCAAGCCAGAAACTTCCAACGTCAAGGTAACGATGTCGCTCGACGACTCCAAAAATCAACGAGCTAAAAACCGTCTCCATTTCCCAGATAAGCACCGGAAGCTCGACTACGCCGCGGTGCTAATTCCACTGCTTCCGGTTGTTGTAATGCCTGTTCCGACGCTACTACTACTGACGCACTGGCGCCGTTTTCTGCTCTTTTGTGCCTGTTGAGGCCTTCTGGAGCCCATTTCCCTTTCATTCATTTTTATGCAGGGGATGGATGACGTGGCGTAAAGTCCTGATAAAAGGTGAGCAAGCCACAATGCAGAGATATCGGGGGGTTTTTGAATTTTTCTGTTTTTTTTTGGCTTTCGTAAAGGCTTAGGCTTAGGCTTCGGCTTCTCTCTCTCTCTCTCCTTTCTTCTCTCTCTCTCCCTTTCTCTCTCTCTCTCTCCCTTTCTCTCTCTCTCTCCTCTCTCTCTCTTTCTCTCTCTCTCTCTCTTTCTCTTTCTCTTTCTCGGATCTAGAAGGAATCAAATAATGCGAGTCCCAGGTGTATCGCCGCCGAATATTGCGAGGAATCCGCCCGAAGGCCGTAACCCCTCAAACGGCCCAAATGACATCGACAGTTGGAGTCAAACGTAGCCGAGAAATTTAACGAGATTTCAACCGATTTTCAGCGAAATCTACCGCCGAGTCTGACTCACACTCTCACCATCGTTAATTGATTACGACGCATGGAAAACCTGGGGTACTGATTTCGCTGTTTGGCTTTCTGAACTGAATAAATATTGCTGCGAAATAGTAAATAAAAATGGCCTGTTGGAGCCTTGCCTAAGCTCAGCCAAGCCAGCCAAGCGCATGCCGTCACTAGGCTCAAGAAATGTCGAGACAAAGCCTGGCCCAGGCTTAACCCAAGCCGATGCCTGATTCAAAGCCTAAGCCTAAGCCCTAGACATCCGTTTGACGTTAATGGGTAGAAAGGAATGTGAAAATTATTCAAGCGTATGCCTCTGAGTAGCTTCGCGTAGGCTTGGGCTCGGGGCTAGGCATATAGGCTTATTGTTAGGCTGGAGCTCAGGCCTATGCGTTGGTTTGGGCTTGCAAATGTGGCAAGAGAACTTCTGTGAACTTTGTGTGCTTTGTTAGTCATTGAGTCGAGCGTAGTAGAATCGAGCCGTATCAATGGTCCATCATCCCATGGCACTCAACCCAATCTTCGATAATTTCTTGAGAACTGTCTCTGGCAGAGAAGGAGGTTTTGCAACGGAAGCACAGGAATTCCGAGTAAACCAGAAAGGGCCAATGAACTTAGACTGGCGGTCCGGATCAACTTTTCAGCTTTGTCTTTGTGTCAACGATTTTCGGACTTAATATTCGACTATTCGGCAACGCACAGCCGCGCCGCGATATCCGGCAAGCCCTCACCCTTAATTCTCGCTTTTCGACCGGAAAGTGCACGGCGCATTTGTTTTTGCTTGATTTGTTCGCATCAGCCTCTGCAAGACCGTCTTACGGGTTTCCGCATGAGTTCTGGAGTTTTTACCTTCTTAAACGGGTACGGACGCATCTTTTGACAAAGACGCTCACCTGACCGGTGTGCTTAGGCCTAGGTTAGGCGTAGGCTTGGGCTTCATTTTAGGCGTATGCCTAGGCCTAGGATAAGGCCTAGGTTAAGCTGAGGCTTAGGCTTATTTTTGGGCTTAGTCTTATGCTTAGGCTTACCCCCGGGCTTAAGTTTCGCTTAGGCTTAGGAACGATTTTGGGCTCGAGCTTGGGCTTAGCTTTAGATTTTGGCTTAGGATGCTTAGGCTTAAGCTTAGGTTTTCCTTTAGCTGGACTGAGATTTTGCCTAGACGTTTTCATCATCTGCTTTATTTATTTAACCTCTCTAAATCTGCTGCTAACTTAATTTTCCAGCCGAATGATGATGGGCGGCGAATTGCAAGGGCGGCTCGTTTGCCTAAATGGTGCCCTCGGGGTGGTGCTCAACTCTTTTTTGTTGTACTTCATCAAGACGGATCATGAGGCACGTTTCAGCTTCGACTTAGGCTCAGGCTTGCTCCAAGACCAGCCAGATTTTCAGGTAGTAAGTCAAGCCCTTTTCAGAACAAAAACAGCAACTATCGACGGATGCTGGGCTTCGTGGCTCTTTACAATATCTATTACAGCCTTGTGCACTGTGTTGTGGATACGGTAGGTGGAGCCTCATTCAGAACGTCCGGATTCAAGGGCTTCTACATCGATGGCGATGGTTTTATCATGTTCAGCAAGCAGTTGCACCAATTCGGGTGGTGGGCTTCGTATTTGGGAACGATGGTGAGGGGTTTATTTGCGTAGGCTTATGCTTAGCTTGGACTTGGGCTTAGGCTTAGGCTTCGGCTTCAGCATAGGCTTAGACATAATTTCAATCCGTGCCATCCAGGTCTACGTCGACTCGTTTGCCATGTCACTTGTCCTTCTGACCATTCATTGCATCTATCGATACGTGAAGATTACAGGGTATAGATACGAGATAAGGTATTCAAGGTTTCCAGGCGCTGGCGAATCCTGTTCTCTAATTGGCTCTGCGTGGCCGGGATCACACTTGCCCAATTCGCGTTCGGCATTGCGTGGGTGCTGTGCTGCGCATATTCGATGAATGTGGGTTTTCAGACCCTTAGACAAACGCGTGACGGTCGGGTCGCGAATGCTCAAAGGGATAGGGGCGGCATAAGTCAATCGATTACGCGCGGGAAAGAAAATGTCTCTGCGCCTCGCCCCTGGGCGCCCTCTCTCGCCGCCGGTCGCGCTGGGACCTGTTGAACCCCCCCCCTCCCCGGGGGTTCAACTAGAGATGTTATGCATACGAATGCGATGTGCTACTTCCGGCAAATTAGCCCGATATGCGTATCTGATTTGGAGTGCAGGCGTAAGGGACGCAATTCGAATACGACCATCGCATCTTCGAATAAGTCTTTGGGTAAATCCCGATGCGACGATTCGCATATCGGCTTCACGTCGGGATAAAAGCTAATTTAACACTCCCAGACGAAAATGCTATGCAAATATCAAAATATTGGCACATCCACCGGAAATGACCGGGAAATTGGCTCCTAAATCAATTCAAATTATGCATATTCTGACTACTTGTTTGCATTTAACGATCGTTTTCTTCGTAATATCGCTTTGCATCCAAATTTGCTTATTATCCCGATGTGAACCGGTTTAAACGAATACGATCGTCGCATTTGCCTGATACCGACGCTAATTCGAATACGACGATCGGGTCGGAATTAGGAAATTTTTGATTCCGACGGCTTATTCGAATACGACGTGTAACTCCTATGTCGTATTCGTATGCGTAACATCTCTAGGTTCAACAGATGCCGTCCTCATCTCTTTAAAGACCTAGATACAGGAGTTCGGGTTCTCAAAAAATTAGTTCTTTCGCATTACCGGGGGGGTGGTCGGATTTTATTGTATAAGTCTTGAAATGCCTAATAACTTAATTGAAAGTGTTTCAATAGTGCTTGTCGTAACATATAATTATATTTCAAGATTTTTACACTTTTTTAAAGTTTAGATTTTCTTTTATAAACTTTTATAAAATTTAGATTTTGGTCAAAAATCGCCATTTCCGGTCGAAAAATCGACATCTTGATCTTTTTTAATACAAATTTGTAAAGTTTTCACGTTTAGGAATATTAGTAGAAAAACTACTTAGAAACACCTCCACTATTTATATTTTAAAAATTGGACCCCAGGAAAAAAGTTGGTCCCCTCTGATGCGAGAGAACCAAACCTCGAACGAATTTAGCCGTCCTGGGAACGTGACACGCTCAGCCGGGAGCAACTGCGAACAATGTACAACGTCGAGGTGGACGGCCTCGGCTACATTGGTCCCGTGTATAGGTAAGGGCGACTACGCGCGACTCCTGAATACGATGGATTAAGTGGCCCGACAGGCAGGGCATTCGGCGCGTCATCTGGAAGAACGTCGCCGGTTCCGCGGGTTGTATGTTGATCCTGGTCATACTGTACTCGGGCGTGTGCTGTTTTGGGTTGAGACTGTAAGTCGAGTAGAATCGATAACGCCAGACTTGGTTCGGCTGACATCAAGAATTCTGCTGGTCAGTCACAACACAAAGAAGATGAACCTACAAACCAGTTACAGCTACTGCCAGAGTACAGGTTTTGTGGACTAATGCCTATATATTTGCTGAAAAGTCGCACTTTGCTTAGGCTTCGGCTTGGGCTTAGGCTTAGACAGTGGCTTAAGAGCGTGCTTAGGCTTAGGCTTTTACTTCATCAACCTAACCGAATCAGCTTTCAGGCAGTCGTACCGCTATTCTTCGAGTACATCCCGTGCATAATGACGGTGTTTGGGGGCTACTTCGGCAAGTTCTAACCTACAAAATGAGCTTTTGAGTGTACAGGACTGCCCCTATCCAACAGCTATTCCCTGGTGGCACCCGTGTTCATCTCCGGCTACGCCCCGATGGAGGCGTTTGTGACGATCCTCGGGTTTCCGGTAAGCTTTCGCGTCTAATTTTTATGGCTAGGCTATAGGTTTATCGTCGAAGGCTTTTCCGCTGCGCTCAGGTCCGGCGGATTGGGGTGAAATACACAAAATCTCAGCAGACGACGACTCGAACGGAAGCGGTCAAGTCTTGAATAAATTTTGTGCAAACAGAAAAAGCCTAATTCTTAGCCTAAGGGCAAGGAATGTAGGAATGAAAATGCATAGTGACGGATAACCATAGAACCTTATTACATACAAGTAGAAATCAACATAATATCTTTTCCCAATTTTCGATATCATACCGGGGTCAACATCTTCTGCAACAACGTCCTTTCGCTGGTGTCGGACAGATCGACCTCGTCGGAGCGTTTTGCCTGTGTTTGAATTTGATGATTAGGATACCTAACCCTAAGCCAAGCCTAAGCCTAAGTCTAATGCTAAGCCTAAGCATAAGCCAAGCCTAAACCTAAGCCTCGGCTCAAGCCTAAGCCTAGGCCTAAGCCTAATCATGAGTCAGTTCTAAACATACGGCTTACCACAAAATAATTCTTCAACGTCCAAAAAACGGTGAAGCGCCAGTAGAGGATGAGAAGGGCAATGATCATGCCGATTTTGATAAATGCCGATAAGAGCAGTCGCAAAAAAAGTGCTCTCGATCGTGCCTGAAATATATTTATGTAATTTTAATCGTAAAGTAATAACGCGATTTTTTTAAGGCGTGCTAGGAAAACTAGCAGTGATTTTTGGGTCTAAAAGAGCGCTTTTTACTAAATCCACACTAGTTGCACTTACCAACTCCAAATATTCCCAAAAAACTTTGCGAGCTGAAGCCGGAGATGACGAAGCTCAGAATCAGGAGCGACACAAAAAGCCCGATATAGAGAAGCTAAAAAATAAGTGAAAATTACTTGAAAATAGCGAACCATAAAACCGAGCTTGACCAAAAGCACCGTCGGGTTCTCCTTTTTTATGGCATAAATGGAGGCGAGAAGAACTGGAATTTGGTACTTTTCATTAATTAATTTTCTTATATATTTTTTTATGATTTAGCATAATAATTCTGATTTTTAATAAAATTGCCGATAGCTATTAAATTCTAAAAAAAATAATATCGAAAACATGCTGACACTTACTCGGCAAGTGAAAGAAAATCCACAGGAACCACCACGGAAATGTGACAATCATGTAGAGAAACGTGACAACAATTTCGATAAGGATCAACACTTTTGAGGCATTCTAAATTCGCAATGTTCCAAAGCCTAAGCCCATGCCCAAGCCTAAGCCAAAGCCTAAGTCTAAGCGTAAGCCCACTTTACTGAAAAATGACAAACCAAAACGTGCGCCCTCTGGAAGAGACATCGGAAATTTGGGTTTTCCGGCTCAAATTCCACCTCGTAATCGATGAGATTTTGAAAATATTCGACAAGCTGGACCCCATCAAATTCCAGGGGTTTTCTGGCCTGTGTCTCTTCGGTCATTTCTGAAAACAACTCATAGCCATCTTAAGCTTAGTCCCAACGATAGAAAAACAAATAAAGATGAAATACGGGCATAAGAAAATAAAATGACTTTCTAGAGAATTTAAGGTCCAAGAAATCTTCGGGGAAAGCCCCGAAAGCCATAATCCAGGCGCCATGGCACGCCTGATCGATTTGTTGTGGCTCACGTTGGCCGATGCAAGGTGTGCACCGACCTGTTTCCTCTTTTTGATTGCTCTCTCGCTCGCCTCTCTCTATCCCTCTCTCTCTCTCTCTCTCTCTCTCGTGCTCCCCATTCCAATTATCAGAAAGGTCATCCGCTACCCCGATTTGATCGGCCCCGCCGAGAACCTTAGCAACTTGCAGATATCATTTAGGAGGCGAAATCCCCTGGAGAAGCAGTGGCTCTCTCTCTTTCGTCTGTCTCTCTCTCTCCCTCTCTCGATCTCTCGCTCTCTCTGTCTCTGTCTCTCTCTCGCTCTCTCTCTCTCGCTCACTCTCTCTCTATTGCCTAGGAAAGACGGGTTCGCAGGGCGTCTTTTGTAATGACTAGGCTAACAGTGATCCTTTAAGAAAGGCCAGTTAGCAGAGACTCTTTCGAAATTCCGAGGCTATCTGGCTAGCTAGCAATGATTCTTGGGCAAAGACGGGTGCGTAGAGATCCTTCGGAAATACGAAAAAGAAGAGCAGATTGTTCAGAAGCAAGCCAGAGCCGGCACCTGAATTCGTAAATGAACAAGAAACTCTCCGATAATTTGGCTGAAAAAGTGTACAAAGATTTATTCAAAAATCACATCGTTTGATTAGAATTGGATATCGGGATTGTTCTTCCGGACGGCCGCCTGATCCTCCGGGGATAGGGCGGCGAAATTTTCGCGGATTTGCTTGGCCTTGGCGGCGTCGACGTCTTTGCCGTGAAGCAGGTTTCCCTTCACTTCACACACGTAGTGCATTGCCTGAAATGGCTTCGTCTTAATCTTCGAAACTGATCTTGACTGGACACATTTTTTAGTTAGCTTACATTTTTTCATTAGCTTACATTTTCTAGCTTAAGTCGTTCTAGAAGGAAGAGATAGCGAGAGGGACCGAGAGAGAGCGAGAGAGATAGAGAGAGAAAGCGAGCGACCGAGAGAGAGACAGAGTGAGAGACAGAGTGAGAGACAAAGAGAGAGAGAGAGAGAGAGAGAGAGAGAGAGGGAGAGAGAGAAAATGTGGATGTGAATGTATGTGTATGTAAATTCGATATTCTGAATTTCCACGTTATGAAATCTCGAAATTATGAATTTCGACATTATGATTGGCGACATTTTTTAAAGAAAACCCAGGTCTAACAATATTTCAAAACTCGCCCACCTCCTTTGAAAAAGCAGCAGCCGAGTCGGAAAGGCCGGCGAGCCTCACCTTGTTTCGTGCCAGCATTGAGCTAAAATTTCATATTTTTATTCCAAGGACTCAAACTTCTAAAAATCACCCTTTCCCCAAAGATCGCCTCCACGATACCGTACCCAAACTTCTGGTGCAGCGTATCACATTTGCCGTGGCATTCCTCCATCATCGCGTCGACGTTGTCGAACGATTTGTGCTGGTCGAGCAGGCACTGAAGACAGCAACGTTGGAACAAACCTGTTTTTTTGGACTAAGCATTTGAATATTCTCATCCTGGTGGTGATTTGCAAAATACTCGAGACCGGGCGGGTGCTGTTTTCTATATTTCCCCCCAGCCACCGTACCTTCAAGTGCTTGGCCTCGTCCTCGGTCAGTGAGCTGCAGAAGTCTGTGTTCTCCTTCGGGATCAGGGCTGGAAAGATCGTAGAACGCTTTAACCTACTTGTTTTTTTAATGTTTCTATAAAATTTTCGAGGTAAATCGTCTTTATAGCAAAATTGAGGGATTTTTACGCTTAGAGAGTACGAATTACACCGCTCATGGACAGTTCAGCGTGTATTGGAGCGCCGCGTACCGACTTTCCTATCCGTGGGTTTTTGGTTAGGGAATGGAATTGCGTGAGCCATTACCTTTCAAAGTACAGGCCGGAATTGGCGAATCGCACTAGAAAACTTACTTTTCACCTCCTGCGGTAGTTTGTCGAGCGGCGAGGACATCTTCGAGTTTTCCTGCCCGGGAAACGTTTGATAGAACGGCTAGCGCGGCTGACTGACAACGATCGACACTCGGAAAACATATTTATTCTTCGCCTTTTTATACCGGCCCAACCTTTGCCCGGTTCGGGGCGGAGGGCGCCCGAAAAAGAGAAGACGTAGAAAACATCATATTTTCACCATTTCCCCCGCCTTCTTTTGCCCCGGACCCGCGAAATTGCGCGATCGCGTTAGGGGGGCGGGGGGGGCAGCTGATTTGAAATTTGGGCCGGCCAGGAATTCGGTCGAAATCGGGTCGCTGCAAAAGGAATTGGCTCTTCTCGTTTAGCGGGGGGGCAATTGTCCTTTTTTAAGATAAAAACCCTGCTAGAACTTATCTTAAACTAACTTACTTAGACTTCTTTAGACCTTGTTGATAATTTCCTAGCAATCAAAGCCTGCTAAAAATATTATCAAAACGACTAAATCTTTCAGGGAAAATGCAATGAATGGGCTGAGGCAGACCCTCATAAATATTCATTCTATCTTTTCAGGTATTATCGAAGGTAGAAACCATCCGCACCTCCTTGAAACCGAGAAAAATGCCAGTGATTTTCATACAAGACCGGCCATGGAGCAAACCGCGTCAAGAAATATGATAATCTTCCGTGTTGTACCAGAACTGTTTCTAACCTTTTTTATGCTCACAATTTGCCCCATTTAAGTAAACTAAAAACCTAGTCCAAAAAAATACGAAAAACCCGAAAAGTACGCTCCTCAAATCGCTTTAGACTTTCTGTTGTTTTTGGCGTAACCTCCAAAGACAATTTGATGATTTTCTAACGATAAAAACTACCAAAGTTTACCAGAAGGCACTACAATACTTTGCACGCGCTAATTCCACTAACCAGGAGTCGTCTTGGGGTGATATTTGAGTTTTTACGATCTGACATTCATTTGATAGAGGCTGAAATTTTGTACAAATCCCATTTTCCAAAGATCGTTGAACTACCTATATAATTACAATGGGCTCCCGGAAAAGTTTCCAAAGTCTGGTTTTTGCTCAGCGGGGGTCAACATTTGCAGAATTGACCCTTGCAGAGCAAAATTTCTCGACTACAGTCACCATCGAGGAATTTCGAAAGCATGGAATTGCTCAGAATTTCAGGCTCGATCGCAGGAGCTATGATCAAGTCGAAAAATCCTACTATTCTACTATTCCTACTATATAAAAAATAGTGTCTGTGTGTGTGTGCCACTTTGCATGCAACTTCCGTCAGGTTGTTCCAGTCGTATCTCGAGAAGGAGAGTAGTTAGGGGTAGTAGTTAGAGAGTAGTTAAATTTTAGTTTTTGTGAAAAATCGGAGACCCTCTTTGTTAGGAATCAATTAGCATACAGCGGAAGTGGCGGTAGCCTATATAAAGGAGCAGAACGCGCACTTTTCATTTTTTTTTTTCAGCCTCGGTGGGGCACAATTATGCAAAATGAAGAACATCATAGGATGAGACGGGGCCAGGGTTGAAAAGTCGCGAAGCGGGCTTTTCAACCCTGGTTACCCTCTAAAAATGACTTCGTTCCATTTGCGTACTCATCTTGATGCTTCGGATCGTGTTTTTTTAGCCGAGAACGAACGTAATAAACATCTATCTCTATCAATTTCAATGAAATGGTGGCCACCGCTCTAGTGCACCGATTGTTTATCTCGCTCACGGTCACTCCATTCTTATCCGCCCGTGTCCAGTTTGACCAAAAATTGATGGTGCCGGCTCCGTTTCGGCGATCCGGCACCCGCAAAAACAACGTTTCGGCTGCGCGCCCGCATTTTAAAAGAGTTGATCGGAGACCGCCCCGGTGAGCAACTGATCCAAATTAGTCGACCGAGCCTCGCCAAAAAAAAACGCGAAGGCCAAAGCGGGGAATTCCAAAATGAACACGCTGAAAGTCCAGAGTACAAAAAATGACGCGCAGGGAAAATCGGTTCAGCCAAGTGGAATGTCAAAATTTATTGGGCACCAAACGCACAACGGTGCTAATGCACTTAGGGGGGGGGGGCAGTCTGGATTTTGACTACGAGACGCTCCAAATGCCGTTTTTAAACTCGAAGCCTCTGGAAAAGCTAAGCTAAGCCTTACTTAGGTTTAGCTTCATACAAACGAAGCCTGAGCTTAGCTTGAGCCAAGCTAAGCTTAGTTCCTAAGCTAACCCATAAATGGCCCCATTTTGACCTCGTAAGTCAATTTGAAGCTGAAGATAAGCTTAGCTTGGGCTTAGGGCTTAAGCCTAGGCCTAAGCTAGGCTTAGTTAAAGCTAAGTTAAGCCCTAGACTTAAGCTGAAAACCAAGTAGCTTACGTGGAGCGCCTCGTAACCCCTTACTACCAATTTTGGACTGCCCCCCCCCTAACTGCATTAGCACCCGCACAACAACCAAACAAAAATTCAACAACTTTGCACAAGCTTGAAAACGAAACAAAAACTTTTGGCGATTTCAAAAGTAGGAAAACGAAAAAGAAAAGTGCTTAGCCCTTATTCGAGCTGCTTCAGTGAGTGGACGGCCTCGGTGTCGATGCCCAGGTCCTCCTCGTAGCGGATCAGGATGCCGATCAGCGCGTGCAACGTGTGTTCTTCCTAAACAAAGTTTTGCTAGTAATTGCCTGCCCTTACCTGAGCTAGTAGCGTTGGCGGCTTCATCTTTGGCGGCGGGGCATTCGGGTCAGGCTGAAAAACAACATTTTATGAAGCACATTGATGCCACACACCCTCTAATAAAATTTCCTTTACGGCCTGATCTAGAAACAGAAGCGCTCCCTCGACTAAAAGCTCCTCCCCGAGTAAATCTATCTAAATGGCATTGATTCAACACAAAAAATGTGAACAGTTTCGTTTATGCATTCCCCTGATATCACCATGAGTTTTGGGCAGTTTAAAGTGGTCAAAACCGGTTGGAATTTGTCAAATTTGCTCAATCTTACTTCCTGTTTTTGGTTAGATCGAAAACTTAAGAGCTCACGCCCCTCTATGATAAAATCTATTAGAAAAAACAGAGGTGCGCGCCTGTATAGGATCAAATAAGGCACGATTATTACCTTTTCACTTGTAGCCTTGTCCAACTCGCGCAACAACGCATAGGCGCCCTTCTTCCGCAAAGAACACCGTCCATGTTTCGTGGAGCACAACTGAACTGGGGGTAACTCTTTTTACGCAACAACAAAATACCTGGTAAAGCGCCTCCACCAACTTTTGCCGTATTTCCGGCACCGACTCGCGTGACCCCTCGTAGTATTGAAGGGCCAGCGGCAACTTCTAAAAAGGGAAAAAGTTAAAGCATTCGACGCTTCGCAAGGTTCTACCCCCGTTTTGCATAAAAAAGAAACCCGTAGTTCCGAACAAACTTACTCGGCCGCCTTGAAGGTTTTTGCCGTCTTTTGCTTTATCTGGTTCAACAGCGGTTGAACAGGTGATTGTAACGCTGTTCCATCAGCGGTGCGCGGTTGATGGATGGCGGTGTTTCTTCTTGGCTGTTCCATAGGCTCAGTAACTAAATCAACAAAATTATAGGTGATGGATGGTCATTCTGATCCAATTTGGTCTTCCTTAATTTGGTTTTGGTCTTGTTAGTTGCATTTCTCGCCCTGCGTTGACTGACGGGAAGGTAAATAATGACGAGCGAAAATTGAAAAAAGCTTAAATCGTGAAATCATATAAGTAATTCAAGCCCCGATTTTACTTCGTTACTGAAATGGAATGGATAGCTTGCCATTTTATCGTAATCTTATTTTTTTACTTCGATTTCTGTTTCTATCTCACCAATTTTAGTTTTTGGAAAGGAGAAAGCAATAGGCTGGCGTAATGGAGCTCCGTGGCTGGGGTACTGTAGTTGCGCAGGGGCGTGGGATAGCTTCCCATCAGCAAGGGGCCTTTGTAAGATTCACCGCCCGTTCTGGACAGACCGACCCTTCATTCCCCCATCTGCCCCCAGGCCTGGACGGGGGCCGCTACGGGCCGACCCGGCCAGGCCCGCGACCCCCGCGACCGAGTCGAAGACGCGCGAAAAAGCCCTATCCACCCGAAAAACAAGACTGCAAGGCCAGTTTCGTGCGTTGACTTTGTTTTCACACTTTAAGGTTAATAAAATGGACCTTGGACGACAAAAATTCAACCTAAATCCAAACTTCAAAAGGTAGAACGTTGCCGAAATGCGCAAATGCACCTGCCAGGCATTTTCAATGCAGTTTTTGTCGTCCAAGCTTCGTTTTTCCAGTCAAATTCGAAATCAGGGCACAAAACCAAGCAAACAGGCTTGCTTTTCGGATGAGCGGTGCCGAAGAGCCTTTTTTGCAGCTAAGTAGCGCCGAAAAGCATATGCGAAGAATGAGAAATTCCTCACATGGTCCATAACCTCGTCGTCCTTCAGCACATGGTCCGCTATTTCCGAGGAGATCGACGCGAAATTGCATAGCGCCGCGAAACAGGGCTTCCGATCGGCCGAGGTGTGCTTGACCAAGTTCAGCAAAGCCTAAAAATCCTGATCAAATTCAAGTGAAAAGTCTCACGTTTCCCAACGCCGCATCGTCCCTCAGGTAGAATTTTGTTGAAGCATTGTCGATCATCTTGGAACTGGCCTCGAGCACGTACTGCAGCGCCGTCCGACGTATGTCCAATCTAAAATAGTTTCTTTAGAGAAAATTGACTTGAAAACCTCGTTTCGGGCGCCAAGAACCCGATCAAGTCGTCGAAATCGCTGTCGCTTGCGTCCATACCTGAAAGTCAACGGTTTTTCAAAAGCAAATCATTTTTGTTAAACGTAATGAGAGAATTCGGGAGATTTTTATTGTTTTAACCTATAAATACCCAAAAAATTCCCAAAAAAAAGCACCCCCCTCTAGCGGCACGCAGTCGTGGCCGATTTTCACCGTTTAGGTATCAATCGAAAGCTCTCGAAAAGGCGAGAAAACAAGGAGGGCTCATTTTATTTATTATGTATTTTTATTCGCTAATTTCACCTTGAAAAACCATGAAAACGGCAGATTTACGCGAGACCTGCATGCTAATTGCGAAATTCCTATTGAAAACTACCTGTTTTTTTTTAGAAAAACGTTGAATATCGCACGAATAAGAATAAATCCTAGAAAATCAAGCGCGCTTGTTTCCTCGCCTTTTCGCGGGCTTTCGAATGGTATAAAAATCATCCTGATCCGAGCTTCCCCTGGACCGCTAGAGGGGGGGTGCTTTTTTTTTGGGACACCCAGTAGGACACTTCAATTAGAGGGCCAAAACCGGTGTTAAAACTGTCAATTCTCGGCCTCGATATTCAAGCGGATCAAGAACAGAACATTCGCTGATGAGCAACGGTTTTCGAAATCAACAATTTATTTGCCTCAACAACGTTTTAAAAGCAAACTGCAAGCAAAGTGCAACATAACAAATCAGTTCAACATTTCAAAAGTAGGAAAACGAAAAAGAAAAGTGCTTAGCCCTTATTCGAGCTGCTTCAGTGAGTGGACGGCCTCGGTGTCGATGCCCAGGTCCTCCTCGTAGCGGATCAGGATGCCGATCAGCGCGTGCAACGTGTGTTCTTCCTAAACAAAGTTTTGCTAGTAATTGCCTGCCCTTACCTGAGCTAGTAGCGTTGGCGGCTTCATCTTTGGCGGCGGGGCATTCGGGTCAGGCTGAAAAACAACATTTTATGAAGCACATTGATGCCACACACCCTCTAATAAAATTTCCTTTACGGCCTGATCTAGAAACAGAAGCGCTCCCTCGACTAAAAGCTCCTCCCCGAGTAAATCTATCTAAATGGCATTGATTCAACACAAAAAATGTGAACAGTTTCGTTTATGCATTCCCCTGATATCACCATGAGTTTTGGGCAGTTTAAAGTGGTCAAAACCGGTTGGAATTGTCAAATTTGCTCAATCTTACTTCCTGTTTTTTGGTTAGATCGAAAACTTAAGAGCTCACGCCCTCTATGATAAAATCTATTAGAAAAAACAGAGGTGCGCGCCTGTATAGGATCAAATAAGGCACGATTATTACCTTTTCACTTGTAGCCTTGTCCAACTCGCGCAACAACGCATAGGCGCCCTTCTTCCGCAAAGAACACCGTCCATGTTTCGTGGAGCACAACTGAACTGGGGGTAACTCTTTTTACGCAACAACAAAATACCTGGTAAAGCGCCTCCACCAACTTTTGCCGTATTTCCGGCACCGACTCGCGTGACCCCTCGTAGTATTGAAGGGCCAGCGGCAACTTCTAAAACGGAAAAAGTTGAAGCATTCGACGCTTCGCAACCTCAATTTCCTCATCATCCAGCGCATCCTGCTCGTCTGCCAACGGGGTTAGCAGCGCCACCAGAAAATGGTCCTTGTCGTCGAGCAATTTGTCGTGCAGCGCTGAAAATTACATTTGCCAATCTAGCAGTAGCGGCCCAACCTTCGTCAAAGCACAGATTCCGCAGAACATCAACACCAGATTCCTTGATACGTTTATTGGCATCCTGACGCGCGATCGCATAGATCGAGTCGAGGAGTTCTGCTTTCTAAAAACCGAATATACGGCGTGTCCCAAAAAAGACGCTCCAGCCGTCCGTGGGGGCGCTTGATCTTTTACGATTTAGCATATCAATTTGAAAAAACTCTTAGAAGGCTATAAGCAGTCTCCGATTTTGAAAATTCTAGAGGCTTTTGTACGATTCATCGCAAAAGAAACAGCTCCCGTTGCTCATGCGTGCCAAAATGATCGGGCAACGGAGTTTTTTAGCGGTTCTCGCGATCGTCTTGCCTTTACGTGTAAAAACTAATAAAATGTCTTGCAGCCCGGAGAAAGACGCGTGTTTTGGTCTACTTGAAGCACTTCCACGTTGCATGACCAAGTTGTTGTAACCGATCGCATAAAAACAGGCTTTCGGAAATCGGAGACAACTTCCAATGCCTTTCAGAGCGACCTAACTTGTAAAACGCGCATTCCACGCACCGCTAGAGCTCTCCCTAGACCCGGGGTCAGATTTTGGGCATCCTAAACACCAGCATAGACAAACATACATCCACTAACGATCTTCGAACCCCATGCAGCGTCGTCAGGTTGACCAACGTCCACGCCAACGATTCGAGGTATGGCTGCGGCGAGTCCGGCGTAATTTTGTGTAGATTCTCTAAAAAAGGATGAATTTGCGACGCGCACAACCATACCTACAATGTTTTGCAGAAAATTTGCGTCGACTCGTTCGAGGAATGTGTGCACGCGGCTGGGGAAATGCCGAGCGAGGTTGGCGAGAAGACGGGAGGCGCCGACGACTGATGGTTGCTTCTCCACGCACGCTTTCCAAGCCTAAAAAAGCTATTGAAATTCGGTAGTCGAAGACGCGCGAAAAAGCCCTATCCACCCGAAAAACAAGACTGCAAGGCCAGTTTCGTGCGTTGACTTTGTTTTCACACTTTCAGGTTAATAAAATGGACCTTGGACGACAAAAATTCAACCTAAATCCAAACTTCAAAAGGTAGAACGTTGCCGAAATGCGCAAATGCACCTGCCAAGCATTTTCAATGCAGTTTTTGTCGTCCAAGCTTCGTTTTGCCAGTCAAATTCGAAATCAGGGCACAAAACCAAGCAAACAGGCTTGCTTTTCGGATGACCGGTGCCGAAGAGCCCTTTTGCAGCTAAATAGCGCCGAAAAGCATATGCGAAGAATGAGAAATTCCTCACATGGTCCATAACCTCGTCGTCCTTCAGCACATGGTCCGCTATTTCCGAGGAGATCGACGCGAAATTGCATAGCGCCGCGAAACAGGGCTTCCGATCGGCCGAGGTGTGCTTGACCAAGTTCAGCAAAGCCTAAAAATCCTGATCAAATTCAAGTGAAAAGTCTCACGTTTCCCAACGCCGCATCGTCCCTCAGGTAGAATTTTGTTGAAACATTGTCGATCATCTTGGTACTGGCCTCGAGCACGTACTGCAGCGCCGTCCGACGTATGTCCAATCTAAAATAGTTTCTTTAGCGAAAATTGACTTGAAAACCTCGTTTCGGGCGCCAGGAAGCCGATCAAGTCGTCGAAATCGCTGTCGCTTGCGTCCATACCTGAAAGTCAACGGTTTTTCAAAAGCAAATCATTTTTGTTAAACGTAATGAGAGAATTCGGGAGATTTTTATATTTTTTTGCAAAAGCCTTTCGAGAAAAATTGCCGTGATACGGGGGTTACTATTGACGAGGCGAAGCGCGCGACGATGACTCATTTCAGGCACCGCACGAAAGATTAGCAAAATTGTCGTATTCTCGAGCAGTTTTAAAAGAATGAATTAGAAATGAAGGATGAAAACGAATTTCTATAGAATTAATTAGGGCAGATGCTTGCCTCTGGAAATGACGACACTGGCGGCTTTGGCCGAACAGAAACGATACGAAAAAAGAATTCGGTTCATTTCACCTAAATTTTGTTGTTGTTTCGAAAATCAGATCTCTGGCAATCCTATCGCAGCCACCGGCACTATACTGGTTAGGGGGGGGGCCACTTTGGTTTTCGATTTTTTGAGTCTTTCTAGGTTAGTTTTTTGTGCTGGTTCCGAATAGAACAAAATCAGAGTAGTAAAACATCATTATCTAAACGTTTGTTAAGCGTTAGGGATGCAGAAATTCGGTATTGACCTAAAAATAAGGCTTCGTGCCACCCGAAGCGACGGCCCAACCTTGCCTGACAATGCGGCAAGCCTCAAATTGTGCATAAGTACACTTTTTATTAATAAAGTTTTACGCCGTTTTTCTGGATAAACGCAACGGTATGGCATGCTGTTGCGACTCTAATCGCACTCAGTGTAAAAAACTACCCCAGAAAGACTCGAAAAAGCGAGAAAAAAGTTTCTCCTAATAGGCACCCAAAGTGGCCCCCCTAACCATTATAGTGCCCAGCCACCCATGCTTCAAAAAGCTTAACGAAGAAAACGATGGCAAACTTTAACGCGGAGAAAAACAAAAAAGCTTCTCGAAAAATTCGCTCGCTTCCGATCGGCAAAAATGAATTTAATCTAGCTGCCATGCTAACGCTTTTACAAACGGATTTCAGAACAGCGACGCGCAAGTTCAAGCGCAGTTTCGTGCGAAGAGCTTCACAAATGTATAATCACTTTCTGGTGCGTTTTTTTGTCGGGATGTATGATGTTCTGATCAGCGTTTGTTTGCCGCTGAGATGTTTCGTAATGCTCATTTCGGAGCAGACAATCATCATCCCGGTCCACTCCCGAAATACTTCTTTATCTCTACGCCATGATTCATCCGAATACGAGCCGACATCAGAGATTAGCGGAACAGCACCGGCCGTTTATTCGTCACTTACCGCCCCCGGGGCCCACTTTGGCACACTGCTGATATAGAGCAGGGCTAGCAATGGAGAAGCCCGGGAAAGGGATCGAGTCTGCACCGGCGCGGTTGGTCTTATCAATATTTGCTGAGAATTGCCGGCTATAAAGATGACTCGGCGACGCGGATCATCGACTTGCGAAAGCCGAGCGCCTTTGGAGACGCTGGCTTTTTCTTGAAAGTCCCGAATTCATTAAAAATCCCCAGATGGCGTCCGATTTTACGCGGCGTGTTTTGACCCCGCCGGGCTATTTGAGCGGTATCGCTGTGGTGGGTTTTCCGAAAAAGTTGACCAGTTTTTGGGGAGGCTTTTGAGGTTTTGCAGAAGTTTTAGATTTCTTTTCAAAAATGTGGCCTACTGATGTTAAATCGACTTTTTTTTATTTCAGGTTTGCACGCTGATCATCAACCTCTTGCTCATCTGGCGCTGGAATCTTTCTGTAAGCCGATCGAGCTGGGGATTCTACAGCTTTTTTTTTGTTTCGGAAAAGTTTCACGATTTTTTTAAGCTGGAAGCTTTTTCCGTCTTTTTCCTAGCACGGAGGGGCCAATTTCAGATAACTTTCGACGGAAATTGGGCGAGTGCTGTTTTCAGGGAAACAAACATTTCCTGCCGTTTTCAGCGTTTATGGTATTTTTAGTCGTACGGCCTTCAGCTTCTGTTCTGGCCGATTTCGGGGCCGTTTTTGTCGTGTCGTTGTTCTATTTCTTTGCCGTAACCAATCGCCAGAAGTTGCTCGAGCGGTTCGGGAAAGTAAAGGCTGGTTTTTTTCTCGGGAAGTCGCACCTGATTTTCGCAAATATAATCTCGGATTGGCTCAAAGCGAACCATTTCAATCTGTAAGAAACGCGTAGACCAAAGAAAACACGATCAAAGCCTTGATGCCAAAAAGTCCCAGAATAGATTGTGAACCTTTATAGATTAAAATATCCGCATTTTTTATAAAACAGTTCAACCTGATTTTTTACTTTTTTTCGATGAAACCCGCGAAAAATTTACGTTCTTGAACAAAATAGCAGGATTTCCGTTGGATACGAACTTATGCCGACCGTGGTCAGTTGAGCGTGAGGAGCGTGTCGTACCGATTTTTTGAGCTGGGCCGTTTTGACTAAAAATTCGTCGTGCTTTATAAAAAACCGTAGCTTTCATCGACGCACAACTTTACCAAAAGCAAAAAATCAAGGTTTTCCAGTTGTTGATCATCATCGCAGTCGTGCTCAAGGCTGCTGGTGATTTCTGGGTGTTTACTGATCGACTACGCTTCAAAAGCGTATCGCTGGGGTGACGGGCTGTACAAAGTTCGATTCATGTTGGCATGCGTGAGTTAAAGAAAGTTGAAAAAATATCGGAATCCTCGGAGCGTGCGCGATATGGGGGGCGGGGGAGTTGGGCAAAGGTTATTTTTAGCCCAACCAGGGGGTTGAAAAAGCCGCTTCGCGACTTTTCAACCCTGGCCCCGTCTGCTCCGACATGATTTCCTGCACTTTGCATCTCGCGATTTTTGATGGCAAAAAATGAGAAACACTACACTACTCTTCCCTATTTATAAGGCACCGCAAACTTCCGGCGCACATGCGAATGTGTTTTCCTACCAAAGAGGGTTCTGGATTTTTCAACAAAAACTTTATTTTAACATCGAAAACAGCTAATTTTGAAAATTTTGTTGAGTGTGCAGTCATCCCAAGGCCATTACGCACTAATAAGTGTACATACCCCTAGCTACCCCCTAATTGAGATACTACTGGAACACGCTGACGGAAGTTGCATGCAAAGTGGCACACACACACAGACACTATTTTTTTATATTAGAAAAATCCAACCAGTGTTGAAAAGCCGCTTCGACTTTTCAACCCTGGCCCCGTCTGACCCGATTTTATCCTTCACTTTGCATAATTGTCCTAAATTGGTATGACAACAAAAAAATGAAAAACGCCGTCTTCGGCCCCTTTATATAGTCGACTCCCCACTTCCGGTCTACGCTAATTTTCCCTAACAAAGAAGTTTTCACAAAAACTTACCATTAATGTCGAAAACAGCTAATTTTGTAAAATCTGATATGTGTGCAGTCATCTCAAGACCGTTGCGCACCTAAGGACGTATCATACATACCTTAAAATTCATCCCCCATCGAGATATCCTCCGGACAGACAAACGGAAGTGGATGCAAAGTGGCACACACACACACACACACACAAACACTATTTTTTTATATTAGAATCCAATTTTCTAGATGCCACCCCCCAACCCCGATATTGCATAAGGACCAAATTAGCAAAAACCAGGGTTGAAAAGCCGCTTCGCGTCTTTTCAACCCTGGCCCCGTCTAGCGTCATAATATGCTTCATGTTGCATAATTCTCGCGAATTCCGATGACAAAAAAAAACGAAAATAAGTCCCTCCGCCCATTATATAGGCTCGTGCCATTTCCGGCATATGCTAATTGATTCCTAACAAAGTGGGTGCTCAATTTTCTAACAAAAACCTTAAGTTTCACGTTCGAAAATAGCGACATTTGCAAAATCTGATGTGTGTAGCTAGTCTCAGCGCCATTACGCACCTCATGACGTATCATACGTTGCTTAAAACCCTTTTCCCTCTTGAGATATCCTCCGGACACCCTGACGGAAGTTGCATGCAAAGTGGCACACACACACACACAAACACACAGACACTATTTTTTTATATATAGTAGGAT